TTTTTTTTGTCATGCGAGTATGGCGTCTCTCTAGCTTGGTGCTTCGATTTCTTCGAGTGTTCGAGTATAATTGAAATATTGATTTAAAATCGCAGTCCGAATCGGGAATTCGCGAAACGTGAGCTAAGGGATACACGTATGTCATCTTGGTGTCGCTTCGTGAAATGAAAGGGACATTTAAGAGAGGCAACGAGATTCGCGGGGTGCTACGAGCACGCATTACAGGGTTGCTCGGTCGTATCCTTCTTGACCAGTATACATATTCGCATAGATGACCACGACGTATGGGAAGAGGGCAGGAGGGGAGAGAGGGTGAGAGATCCTTTGACATTCCGGCGCGTCAGACGCGTGACAGCTCGGACAATAACGGAGATCCCGGCGTCACTGATTGTCACTTGTTTCTTGCCATTTCTCTTTCTTTCTTTCTCTTTCCTTTCTCTCTTTCTCTCTTCGATCCTGACCGCGAATCCTGCCGCGGTCTCTCCGCGTCGTGCGGCCGACGACACGTCGCGCTTCTTTCTCTCATTTCAAATTCAAATACGGGAAATCGCAAGACGGTAAAAGCGTAACCCTACGCCTTGAGAACTGACGAGCGTGAATCCCGCTGACCGGGATCGGCTATCGATTTAAAATACCCGAGTCTTGGATGCAGGAGGAGGGAAATGGTCGTGTTGCACTTATGTGCACTAAGGTGGTTAATAAGGGCGACGTTAGGCCGCACTATGGACGATACGAGGTGGGAGAGCGAAGGGCGACGGGAGAGGGAGCATTATGTGCCTTATTGTCGAATCACTTCCGGGGCTTGACCGGCAGTAACGCCCTGAAGACCAGTTCGCGTGGACAATGTCCTCGGATAATAGACGCCGATGTGCGCTCTATTGTCGACCGAAAACGACGGACGCGCGGATTGTCTAGAATACCTACTTCAGGATGGACCGAGAATTTAATAATGTCGACAATGCGACCGCCACCGTAGAGGTCCACCTACAATTCCCGACAAATCGCACGAACGGAATCCGTATCGTATTGACGACCTGCGAACCGGCGGACGAGAAGTGATTCGGTGTTGGTGTGATTCGAAATTGCGCGTAAGTATAGACGTAGAGAAATACTCGTCTTGTAACTAGTTATAGTTCCCGGGAGAACTATCGGCAGATTTTCCCTCGTGCTAAATTGAACGAAACATAAATTACAACGTGGCGAGCCAGCCAATGAGTATGAGCATTCATATTAACACGACAATGTCATATGAAATGGAACTCGTGCGGTTGACGATGGCACGTTCGCTCGAGCATCACCATTAATATAATTTGTCAGTCGCATACGTCTCTAACGGCGAGGTTTTCCGGGCGATTTGCCGGAAAAGTGCCTATGGGCGACGAGGCGCGTGCGGCCGCTTCAGCATGAAAAACAAGCGTTGGCTCCGTTCCTCCTTTTCTCCCACGTGGCAAACGGTCTCCGATGCGAGTCAAAAGACCACGCGAGCGAGGGGTTGCCGGCGACCACGTGGAAAAAAGGCCGCCGGTTTCAATATGTAGACGAAGAAAAGTGAGAAGGAAAATACTGAGAAGGGGGAATGCGCGCGAATAGCCGGAAGAGTGGGAGAATCTTGTAGGCGTAAACTCGACGTGAATGATTTCTCTCTGTGGAACGCACTTGAGAGAAAAGATCCCGGAAAAGATTTAAATGTCCGCGCACGTAAGCCGAGATAAATGAGATCTCTCCCAAATACGAGATAGAATACAAGAGCGAAGGGGAAGAAATAGAAGAAAAAAAAATTACGGCCTTAAAATATTTTTCATGTGTTATCATTAACGAAGTACTTGATTTATTTTTCTCACAAACAGCAGCATGTAGCACACGCATTAAAAAAATACGACGTGAAATACTATTTACGATATGTGACATCGTTGAAAAGACAGAATTCGCGAGCCGTAAAATGAGTTATTCGTTCGACACATCGTTTAAGCGACGTTTACTGTGTAACGCGTTGATTCCCGCGTCACGGTTGATACACACCCCGCATATCACGCCGCATCAGGCGTTAATAAATTTTCACGCATTCGGGCAACACACGCAATCATTTTTCAAGCGTGCCTACCGTAACGCCGACCGTCGTGCAATAAACGCAACTCGGTTGATCATTTAACTCGGGTTCTCGAAATCATTCGGCAAATTGAAGCCCAGCCCTCCTCACGCGAGGGGTCTCTCGGCCGAGTGAACTTAAGCCTTAGATTGGTTTAGTCGCCACGCAGGCACGCCGCAGGTCGGTCGTCCTGCGGATCACGCGTCACCGAACGGGATACATCGGGAGCGCAGAGAGAATCCCGATCTACCCTCCGCCGTCTCATTCACGTTTCTTTTTTCTTCTACTTCTTCTTTTCCTCTTGTATTTTATCTCACCCTTTTCCGGCGGATTCGGAAAAACGAAGTAGAAACCTCGCGGCAGGTGATGTAATGGTGATACCTAAACTATCGGCATTCCCAGATTCGAATCCCGACCATAATCTCCCCTCGCAAGGACGGCGACTGTTACGTTCTCTTCCTTCTGAATTTTTAACTTTGGCGCGCGACAAAGTAGCGTCAACTATTTACCGGCGAGCTTGGAAATATAATAGATCTTTGCTGCTGTTTTGCTTTGCCTTTATCACTTTGAGGAAACAACAGATCTTGTAGAGAAATTTACGAAGCTATCGAAAACTAAAGATACAGAAGATACTCTCTAAAAATTGGAGAATGATTCATACGCTTGGAAGAATTTTCTTGCTTCGCTTAATAAAAAGACACATTATTATGTGTTTGTCGCAAAGCGGGTCGATACGTATTGATTGCCTTGAAAAATTTATTCGGCACGATCACTCTAGATTCGGTGTAATCCTATAAAAACTTTCCGATCTTCCACGGGAAATTTCAGAGTGGATAAACAGTGGGGAAATTTAGGGCAAATTTCGGTTTCGAGCTGCACGTTCTCCCCCTGTTGATCTCGCGCCTCGAGAAGTTCGGGGCGAGTTTCCCGGAGGATGTGAGAAAAGGATTAGGATCGGGGAAGTAACGTGTGAATCGATCGAAAGGGCGTCTTTTTTTGCCTCACCAGATCCCGGGAAAGATTCGTGAGGTCTGCCGACTGTTCTAAACATTCGTTATCGACGTTGTCACGGAAGTCGCGTGACACCTAGCCCCGCGCTCTAATTTTAATTCTCCTACATTTCTCTGAATTTCATGCGACGAAAGACCTCCGTAATTTTGCAGTAAAACCAAAGCAGTCTTAACGGCCGCCTTTGGGGATCGAGTGAGAGATCTGGATGATTTTGGGGAACTTCCTCCCGACTTGCGGCCCGGTTCGCGCGGCGTTTCGAATAAATCGACGTGAGAAATCGCGGCCGAATCTCTCTCGCGATGTTTTCCCTCTCGCGCGCGTTCGTAGTACGTTTACACGCGTGGGGTTGATAGATCGGCTCGACGAAACGAAGGGGTAGTTTGGCTTTAATCGATCCTGTAATCGCCGGCCCGACAGTTGGCCCCGGCTGCCTTTTTGTCGGCAGTTAGATGGATGGTGCCATTTACATTTTGTCAGTGCGACATGCGCTAACGCCGCCGCTATCATATCTATCACACCCTTTGGACCAGTACCCGATCAGTTTGCTAGCGTCCAAATCCGGAAATCTTTGCGTGGCCGCGATACAAGTTTCAGCAAATTTCCGGCGGTGAAATCAACCGTGAAAATTGCGAATTCGTTGCACCGATTTCGATCAGTATTGTTGTGATCTAAAAATAGTTCATGCTGCAACCAACACGTTGGAGACCAACATTGAATGACATTCTGGAGAAACGTGAGTGACATGTGCAAATCGCGAGCGCTCTCTTATTATGGAGTCAGAAAGCAACTATCTGTTGACGATTTCACGGGCTGATTCCTCGATCGTGACTTCGAACGGCGATTTTACGGTCGACTTAGGAATGTGCAGCCCAGCGTATGCGCCTCCCGACAGATTCCATAGGAATCTAAAAATTTCAGCAGGAAATGAAAGAGACGGTGAGAGAAAAGGAGACAGAGAGAGAGAGAGAGAGAGAGAGAGAGAGAGAGAGAGAGATAGCTGTGCCGACTCGTTTGCCGAGACGATCCAATTGACAGATCTGTCACTATGGATGACACCTTCGGCAAACGAGTCGGCCAGGTGGTTGCTGTCGAAGCAAGAAGACGACTCTGTCTGTCCGCTTCTATCTCTCTTTCTGCTCTGACCCTCTTTTTCCGCCACTGTCGCCGGCATCTGCCGGATAATACCCGGGATTATAGCAGTAGGATAGAAGACCTACTGTGGCATTGGCTCGGACGAAACATTCCTGTGCCGAACTCGAGCCATAAACAGATCGATCATCTTTCAAACGGGTCGACGACAACTCGAATTCGCGATGATATCGAACGAGATTCGCGTGTGAATCCTTGGGAAGCCCGAATGAGCACAGAAACATTCGAGAGTGAAGGGAGTTCGATAGTTTACGAACCCCTCTTTTAGACGTACGTCATATCCAAAATGAAAATCGATATATTTCAACAGCAAAATAATTTTTATCATTCAAGTAAGAAATTACACGTTTATTTGCTGTAACATTAAACCGGTTATACTCGTGCAAGAATATATTACCTGAAAGTACTTTCACTCTTGGCGGTTATTACTTTTTCTTTTACGCAATTTTTTGTCGAAAATGGTCGATTTCTCTTTCATTAATCAGCAAACAGCTGGAGAAATGCTCGTCGCGTTAATTGGCTCGGGCAAAACGAAAGGGAAAAGAAGAGAGCGCCGAGAAGGACTATTTCGCGCGACATCGAGAGCGAAGCAAATATCTTTCGTTTCGAAAGGTCAGTTTGAACTGATCGAGCACCGACCTATTCGCTTTACGATCGGCCCGACTACTACCTCCACTCGAGAATTCGAAAGCGGGCGAAAGCGATAAACACGCACACACGTCCATACACACCGCGGCGGAAATATACGACTCACCTCCCACGCGTAACGGGGGTTAAAAGGCTCGCTCGCCCATTTGCCGAGGAACGGGCCGAATCTCGCGCCACGAGGGATGTCTTTGCGTGCACGTACGTGCGGGCCTCCGGGCGCCGAGCCGCCGACCTCGACCTCAGGCACCGGTGACACCCATTCGCGACTCGTCTGATCCTTGGACTCCTGCTTTATCGCGTCCTCTGTGGACAGGCAAACGTTAAGGAAGACGTCAGAGTATTTGCGGATTGCACATTCGCGTCGAGAAAGCGTCGCGCTCGAGACCGCTCGTCGAATCACGCGATCCTGAATTTTCCGAGCATTATCTGAGAAAACGTCACTTGGCAAATCTACATTTCTCGAGTTGCTACGGGACAAGATAAACATCGCGAATGTTTCGCGGCATGGCCAAAGGCTCTTTCCCCGGCAGAATTGTAAGACTCACGGTATTCATTGCCGTAATCCCGCGATCTCGAGTAATCCTTCCGCGCGCTTTTCTCGCTGTAATCCCAGGCCGATTTTCTCTCCTCCTCTCGGCTAGACGGCGACGGCTGATGTTCCTTTTCATAATTCCGCTGTCGGTCCATCCCCGGCGAGTAGCCGCGCTGGTGATGATAGGCGGACCTCGACTGCGGGTTGTAATCCTGCGGGACCTCGTGCGCGCCGCCAGCCTGGAGCGGCTTTAGATCCCTGTAGACGGGATTGTTGCTGCTCGCGCGAGTCGATCCGTTTTCCTCCATTTCCGCGTTCTCGCCGCCGCCACCCCCGCCGGTAGTCGCGCCCGATGTCGACTCGCCTTCGTCGCTGCTTCCTGGAAAGAGTGAAACGTCGATGGTCTCAGAGACGCGATAGATGAATCTCAGAGGGAATGCTCGAGGGTGATCTCAAGAGTTTGCTCGTGACACAGTGACGGCGTCTCCGATTATATCGTGTCAAGATTAGCTGAATTAATTTGAGCTACGATTTTGTGAAACCCTTATACGATTTCATTTAATAGTTCGCGTTAAATTACCGTCTCGAAGCTCAGGAAAATTTGCCACCACACTGAATTTCGTCAACGTAGCCGATCCGTTTGGCCGGAATAAAGTCAACGACGTGCTCGTAAATCAATAGTGCTCGATCCGCGACTATCGATCCGCGCGCTTCGTAAAAATCCTCCATTTCACGCCATTTGAAAGGTCACGCCGTGTTCTCGTTGCGATCAACCGACGACACACTGCGCGCCATTTGCGAAAATCCAATTTACCAGGAGGTATTTGCGCGCAAGAACGATGATGAGAGACGACTTTTTGGAACGTGACGTATCGATTGGTCATTTCTGGGAAAACGGCGGCTCGTTGTTCCCGCAATAAAGTCGCGTTTCGCGATATTAAACGCGTGTGTGAGCGTTTTGTTGCGAGAAAGGTCGTGGCTCCGTGTAAACTTAGCGTCTCGGTGAAGGTCGGAAAATCGTCGTGTGCGTTTCATATGAGAGCTAAAATGAATTTGTTTGCTGCCCCCTCTCTTTCTTCCTCCCTCCTCCACTAATTCTCTCTTCCCGCCGTCTTCTTACGGCTCGACGAAATCCTAGGCACACAAGGACAAGTGTCAATTGAAGCGAGCTATCTGCCGCGGCGCGTTTCTCCGACGCAGCTGCCGCGTCCACGCGGTGACACCCAAGCTGAGGATGTTTGCCGTGATAAGGATTTTATTGTCATACTGTCGGCTGTTTTTGATGCACCGTGACACCAACGTTACGGACACTCGCGAGAAACAAAACTCTATTAATCGCGTGTTATCAAGTGACTTTACAGTTCCCGTTTGCAAAACAACTTGTCATTTCGGTCGAGAATAAAAAGATTCACAACGTGATCGAGAGTGGTATGCGCCGATATTATGGCGAGATACAAATAATTTGGAAAATATAGCGTTGTAAAAGTATCCATCTGCGGACAAAATCACTCTATCTCTTAGCTTTATCTCTCACATCCATGATCCGCGCGCGCGCGGCAATTATGTCACGCTCGAGGCGACAAAGGAACATCGCGTAAAGAATCTGGATTTGTTTGAGGAACTCACTCCGACCGGATACGAGCCCTTTTTAATGGCAGTCCCTATCTCCGAATCGAAAGATAACCACGCGGTGTATCAGCTATCTAAAAACAAACTGTGAACTTTATGCGCGTTGTCCGTCCAGCGGAGGAACCTGCGAAGATCGAGAGTCCTTTGCAAACAGCGCAAGTTCCGTGTGAATCGACGGCTAAGTAAATGATCGTTTTAGCGACGAGCTGGCAGGTGTATGGAAGGAGCAGTACAAGCACTCGACAGGATAAAGAAAGAAGAAAGAGAGGAGCGAAAAATCACGATTCTTTGAAGACAAACATTCTCACGAATCTTATTGCAATTTCTGCGATTCTCATTATAGTTTCAACGTCATATATATATATATATATATATATATATATATTGCGTTGTTTTATTTATTAAATTAGTCGTCGTTTCCGAATGAAGACTTAACCAGGGTATGAAGGAACAACAAGTCGATGCGGCCGAGCGCACGCGAGAGAAGGCGCGTGGCGCAATAAAACGTTAAAAGTATCAATTTTACGACGGTCACAGTTCAATTCCATTCTAATAGAGAGGGTAAACAAAGACTTAAGGATCCGCCGTCTTACGTCGGCGACGCAGCCGAGTCGTAAAAGAAAACGGTGATCCTGCGAGGCGTGCTTGTCGACACGAAGCTCCGGGAGATAGCACGTCTGCGAGAGAGTCGATATCGGCATGTGTCACTGCTAATGGGAAAGAATAAATCGCTGATAATAAGCCGAGAAGGGGGACGGCGTGGACTCTGAGATCTCTAAACTATAAACTATTCTCCACTATGCATGAGACCGAAAGAAGGAGTTGAGTGGACGTATGAAAAATAAATGATAGGACATTGTTAACGTGTTAAAGTTGACGTATATTTAAAGACTCTTACATGGATCTGTCTCTAAATTGCGACGCTCCTTTATAGGCTCATTATTTAATTACTCTTCCATTTTATATTTTGTACGTATCTGAGAAGGAAATAGGAGCCGCACGAAGCGATATATAAATGTATCTCGAGATAAAGGAAGAGAGCACGAAAATACGATGCCGTTGTCCAAAATTGATCCTAATCGACAAAGTAAACACGATTTAGTGGCGATGTTAGTTCGCGCTGATCGCGGATGATCGTAAAGAAGAGAGAGAAAGACAGGGAGAGAAAAAGAACCGATCTCATGAAGAGTAACTGCGGGTTGCTACTCACGCCGGATCCTCTCGCGCAAGGAACCGATATGACATAAGAACAATATTTGGAAAACCCTCGAAAGTCAGGGGTCTTTGACTCCTGTGGGACACAAGTGCCGTAGTATTTTCTCCCTTGACAGAAGTATACTTGTCGTGCCATGCGTGACATTATCCCCGATGATAGCGGCTCGAGAGGCCACTAAGGATGATTAGAGCGAAGTACCGCGGCACTCTAGCGCGGCTTACGCCCCGGGCGAATTAATCGTGGGAAGAGTCCGCTTTTCGTGTCAATCAAAAAATTCTCCCCGTAAACGCTCAACACGTTCGCGATTATCTATAATTTTTCATCTCGCTCCTGACAGCGCACGCAGCCAATTCCTGCTTTAGAAATTTCAAATTAATCTCTGTCGTTTTAATATCACAAAACAGCCCGATTTCCTTCTGATAAAATGTTTGCAGGAACAGTCGCGGCCTTTCATCGAGTTACTATGTATAGAACACTCTCCATAACGTCGCTTCGTAAACAATAAATAATAATTAAATTATTACTAATATAGATACGCGCAGCTAATGAAATTATTCTATCAGTTGTCATATTGTACGTCGCGTTCTATTTACTGCGAAAATAATAATACGTGTTTATCCACATACACGGCGATGAAGTAGTTAGTGAGTTATAAAGCAAATGAGTCTTTTGCATCGCACGGGTCTATTGTGATCGATGATTGATGCGCGTGTGCGATACTTGGCGCAGTTCGTCTATCGATTGCCCACGTAGCTGCATGCGCCGAATATATCGGGAGTTGACGTTTCACGATCGAAGGCTTTAACAAACGATCGAGCAATGATGGATTAATCCGCCGTATTAAGTAGACGCACGAGGCCGAGTGTGTGCGCATCCAAATATTGCCGAGTGAATTTTATACGCCGGGACTATCGAGGGCAGGAAACAAAATTGAAATTCACGAGTGAGACAAATTGTAGTTTCTCTCTCTCTCTCTCTCTCTCTCTCTCTCTCTCTCTCTCTTTCGCCGTAACATAAACATTATACCGAATACCAAAATCGTTGTTTTATACCGGCCAACGTTTAAGACTAATTTCACTTGGACATGATTAATTTTTTTGCTCGACTGTATGTAACATCCGCCACGCGTGACGCAGACGTTCACGAGGAAAGATCGTTGTATAGAGTGAAGTGAAATCTGAAGGCAAAGCATCTCGAATATCCGCCTGGCAGGACGTGGAGACTGCTTTGAGGAATGTAAGCGTGACTTCCGGAAAAGATAATTAAACAAATTGGCGGCTAAAGAGATGTCGGAAGAGCGATTGTACCGCGCACTACGTTCGCACCCGTGTAGACCGCGTTTACTCTGACCGCACAGGACATCCTGGCGATATGAGGATCCTCTGGGGAACGCGACGTCGACGCGCCGTGTTCCACATGCCCGGTGGCCGAAAGCTCCTGCGGATGACGCGATTAAAAGGCGCAATCTCGCTGACAATATCAGATCTCCCTACTCCGTGGCGCGCAGATTAGCGATTGAGGTTAATTAGAAAAACGGCTCTCGTCGGATCCTGCGGCTAGGGAGGCAGTATCGTGAAACGTCGATAAGATTATCAGCGTGTCACGGAATTGCCAAGCCAAGTGGCAGGCCAAATTGGACAGAAGATCGAATCTCCGTAGTCTGGCTTCCGGACAGGCTGCGGTCAAACTTCCTCGACAATGTTTGCCAACTGAAGCACGGTAGGATACTTCACTTCGCCATGCGAATCGCTCCGCAAAAACGTGCCGGCACAAATGAAGTAACTTCACCGTGCGGGAGGATTTGACGCTCGCAAAGTCAGTCGAGAAGCTAATCTCAGAGAAATCATTTTTCATTGTCTGTCGGTAACCATTGACAAGGCTCAATAATTGAAAAACGGAGTAGCTACTCGTTAAATCACCGAGTACTAAGAGGTGCAATTTAGCGTTGACAAAGCGGATCTGATAGGAATATATTTTAATTCGGATTAATCGAATAATTTCAAGTGCAGTATCATCATCGTCATAGTGTTCATAGTGTTACGCACCGAGGACCAAGAATCTCGTTTTGTCAATTGGCACACTTCACCTTCTGACGACATTAGTCACACTCCGACATTGACGTGATTTCGGGTCATTATTTTTCCCACAAATCTCTCTCTTTCCGACGAACGCGTGACTCGACTATCATAGACGCGTATAATTCTCAATCAATCGCAGCGACTGATTCGCGAACACCTAGACTTACCGTTCATCTCGCGGTCGATCACAGGCCGGGACAAATCGAGAACGCTCATCGGGGACTCGCCTCGGATCCGGAATCCTGGATCTCCCAAGTGATTCTGGACGAGACGAGAATGACTCCGATCACTCCCGGCACATGTCCCAACACATACATCGGTATCACCAGAGCGTTCTATCACGAGATCACGTCAACATCGCGAGGATCGACGGGCACAGCCGATCCGGACCTTGGTGCGTCTTCATGATCGAGCGATCGATCGAGTCGGTTGACCGAGTCGGTTGAAAACGCGGTC